CAGTATGTTCGGAAGACCTTGCTTTCTACACAGCCTCCTTGCACAGGGTTCCCAGGATTGTATGCATTGCTTATCCTGCCCACATCTCAACTGATCTAGAGAGGAAGCCTTGCCTGCCTAAATTGTTTGGCATGAATCCCAGCCAGCCCCCTTAGAGATCCCCGCTTCAATGGTTCTGCTGGCCTTTAGACGATCTAACCTGTGCAAACCAGCTTGCTCTTCGAAGTAGCAGAGCTAGCAAAAATATAAAAGTTATTACCAAACTTTGAATGAATAAAAAAATGGTAGTGTTCACCTGTCCTTTAAAAAAAGCTTCCCATTAAAGGCAAAGAGAAATCAGTTAAACTAACTAGGCAAAATCCTTTTTTTACATTTTCATTTATGGAAGACAATTATCAATCATTGATGCCAGCTCTCATTATCTGGTTTCGACCTTCTAGAAAAAGTTACAATAACTGCCAGCTACATCCATAGAAATCTTTGGATATGTTCCCATTCCTGCCCTTGATCTTGACTTTGATGCTCTATTGCAAAACAGACCAGGAGGCCTTTCCTTCAAAACGCTGCCTGATGTGATGTTATCAGAGACAAGAGGCTGAATGCATAGTAAAGGGTGATGAAAAGTTTTAACCTGAGGCCTATTGCTCAGACAAAGACCCCACTCATTTTATGAGAGAGGGGGGGATCTCCCTGGCAACAGCCACAGTGTTTTCATGACAAGGCCATGAACAGAGGACACTGGAAGGGAGATCAGCTATGTTGAGCTGCCGTTCCCCCATAAACATTTATTTGTTCTTCCGAGGATCTCATAAAATATGGGGCAGACTCTTTTGGCCCGGGGCGAGCTAATTTGTCTTGACATTCCTGAGATGGCACAGTGAGAGGGGAGTCCCACTTCCCTCGTAAGCTGCGCATATATATTACAGAGGGTTAAACTACTGGTAGGACAGCCGGAAGGTTCTTGTAAAGATATTATACAGCTCATGTGCAGCTTTCCATGCAGTCGGAAAGTAGCACTAAAGGGAGTCAGGACTTCTTTACGGTGCGGTAATCTCACGTTTAAGTTGAAGACATGTGACAGGCATCCTTAAAAAGGTGAGTGGGTACAGAGATTTTATTTTATTTACTAAAAGAGTCGCAGCTTTTTCAGGAAAAATGGGAATTTGAAGAAACTAAGCACAAACAGCTGAATTAACTTGATTTCCTTCTTCGAACCTCAACATTTGCACACAATGAAAAAGATGCTTCAAGCAGCAACTTTAAATCACTGTTATTGTTATCAGATGCTGGCTTAGAAATGACAAATTATCCTCTCAACCTTTCAGGCAAACTGCAGGGAGGAACTTCGCAAATGTCATCTTCACTTTAGTAAAGATAAGTGATGATGTAAGAATTTTTTTTGTTTGCTTTCATCCAGCTTTGCATGACTGTGGGTTTCAAGTTTTTCTGGTTCTTTCTCATTCTTATTGCAAAGTTAAATTGCAAATGAGGGATTGATCGCAGACTGGAGGTTGTTCCTCCGGGTGAGTTATTCCCCCCTCTTTTAATCTTTACCAAGCCAGACCCAATTTGTCAAGTTGTTTTCATTCCACTCAAACGTGTTTCTCCCTACCCTGTGATGTGGTCCTAACAACTTAACCTTTTTGCTCGTTTTCCCCAGTGGCGACTTGTGGGAGGGCTTTCCCCTCTCTGTCTTCTGACAGAGTGACAACAACCCTCAAGAATGATCATATCCGAACTAAATCTTAGTCCTTAAAGGGACTAAGGACTAAGGCAAAGCGATATCGCAACAGCAAGAAAACAGGTCAGCAGGAAAGAGTGTGAAGGAGTAAGCCTTACAACCTCATTATAAATGCAAGCTCTGCACATTTGCTGTAGACATTCTGATTCTGATTTGACATCCCTCTTGAACCTCTCTGAAAAATGTCAAGACTTGTTCAATGCGTGATTTAATCTCCGTCTTGTTAACAAAGGCAGTCAAAAGTTCACAGTGCAAACAGGAAAACTATACAGCTTTTGACCTTTGTGCTTAACAAACAGGGTTGAAGGGGACCGGGTCGACTTTTGATCCAGTTCCTATACCAAAGCTTTGATCCTATTTTTGCAAAACAGCTCCTAGAGCGCCTTTCGTAAAGTTGAAGTGACATAAGCTCTACCTCACATTATATCTCAGTGAGCCTGATATCCAATGTTAACTTCCTTAAATGTGCAAACAGAATGTTTACGTGCTAAAATGCCCCATTGTTTGTATCTCACTGTATGAGCCAAAGATTCCCGAAGACAACCTTTTCAAACCTTTTTTTTTAAACAAATGTTTAGTGATACTATCATCATCATTAGCAGTCCCTGTGCTGTGCACACAAATACAACTTAAAGCAGTGGAAAAAACTCTTCAGTGATGTCATATGAAGCTGATTTTTTTCGTTTTTTTCCTACACTAAACATTTCTTCTCTTATAGATATTCTATTGTTACCTCCCACTAGGCAAATGTGCTTCATTTGCATGTATAACAGCTCATCTTCCTGCTTTAAAGTCAGCTTGTCTCTTCAGCCAACATGTGATCTCACAAATGTTTGAACAAATTCGGGTCACGCAGGACCAGAAACAAAGTAACTAAAGTCATTACAAGTATTTACATTTCTATGTATTTGATTAATCTGTCATAACTGTACTTACTTATGGTTATAGTTAGTCAAAGCTGTTGGAAATTATCTATGTGTTGCAAATCATTTTATTTAAAAGTTTGAATCTATGAACACGTTTTTTCTTTTTTTTTGTTTGACACGTCTGTGTATTTGAAGACATTTCAGATCAATGTTGGTTATCTCAGGTTGCTGATGAAAGGAGACTACAGTTCATTTCCCTCCTTATAAGTTTCCTGCAGGCTCACAGATAACTGTGGAATTCGGAACTGCAGCCACAACGTCATAAGTTTACCCTTCTTGTCGGTACACCATTGCACTCTATCTGAAAATACTTGTCTGCTCCTGTAGGGTACTGTTCTGAGGATACTCACAGACACTTGATAAGAAAATATAGTACTATATCTTCATGTGGGGGGAAAAAATGATAGATTTCGTTCATTACTTTTCTTGACATGACATAGTTAGAAATGAGTTATGAATGAAGGAAACAAACAATCCAAAATGACTAAATGGATTTCATTCTTTGAATTGACAAGATTTATATCATTCACATTTGAAAGGGTGAGCACATGCCACCACGCGGTCATGTGTTATTGCTACCATCTAGTGGTCAATTGCAAAACACATCACTAGAAGAAAAGAAAAAAACTCCTCAACTTGACCGGGTTTTATTTAAACAGGAAAATTGACTTGAACAACCTCACAGGTCATACAAATACAGTCAAATGTGTCCTTACAAATGCAAATATGCTACTTGCATTCACTCTTAGTTAAGTCACAGAGGGGGTTGGGATGACTTTTAATGAGCAGTGTCCTACATTAAGTGTAATGTTTACATGAACAGCCGAGAGGCGGTGGCTATGTGTGCCTATGTACTAGTGTCAACAGATGACTTTAGGGATTATTGCCTTTTTTTAGTGTGGTGACTTGCATTAGATTTGACGTGGAACTTGCAGATTCATTATCTAACTTGCAGCTCTCCCCCCTGAGAGCCAAACCAAGCGATGCAAAGATTAGTCAAACCACTCGAAATGATTCAGAGGAAAGATGCTGTTGCTGGATTGAGTGAAAGGGAAGTGTGAAATCATTGTGCAAGGACAACAACACAAGTGTGGGTCAAGTGATGCTTAATCGTACAAAAGATTCTGCTTTCAGACTTCGGAGAAAGACTCTAAAATGGCCTCGATAAATAAAATCGCATATCATAAAATACATCTTTAGTATTCGCCATGCAGTTGCATTCCCTGTTGTATTTACTGCACAAAGAGGTGAAAAACAGTACAAACAAAGATGACTGATGCACATGTAACGCCCTGTGTTTTCTGTTAAAGGGAAAATCCTCACAAAATTGACACATTTCAGTTTCAGTCAGCAACCAAACTTCCCGTTCCCCCCTCCCGCAAACAGCCTTTTAGCATCTAGGTTTCCACTAAAAATGACCTAATGTTGCTGATATGGAGGCTAAAAAATGCAAACTTGGCTACCTCAATAGGCCATTTTAAAATACCTTTGGTTTTGAAACAAAGGTGGAAGTCAACTGCGTTCCACTATGACTGCAGGCTCTCTTCCTGCTCTTCACCAGGAAGTTTCATTGTGAAAGATTTAGGTAGTTCCACGATCGGATATTTGCATTAAATATGATCACTTGTGATCTCTCCCAAACCCTACTGGCCCTCATCTGAACTTAAAGCCTTTCACAAACTCATGCAAAGCTGTGCTGTAACATACCAAATACTGCCAAAAAAAATCCAGAAATGTCATACCAATTCATTATTCTGGGGTTAGCCACTCTCATTTGTTTGCATTGTTTAGACCAAACAGTTTTTGGCCTATGCTTGTAAAGAAAGGTAAAACAGGAATATTCTATGAAAACGTTTCCTGTTGTGGAACACTCCATTCTGCCAATGAAAACTGGCTCAAAAAACTGAACTGATTAATTACTTCAATGACAATGTGACAAATTTAACATGGGTTAAATGTTACTGATATGCATATAGTCCATAAAAAACTTTAAATCCAGCACATCAAAGTCTTTATTTTATGATAAAAAAAATGACTCTGACATGCTAGTTAATCACTTGTACACTATGCTACTTGTTTGCAGCATTCCACTCAATCGAAGGATTTTAGTTTTTCATATGCTTCTAACCATGCTTATCCACCAACTACTGTGTTCTTCTCACATTGTTGACTCGGAAGATCACCTTTATGATTGTCATACTCAGAAAACCGGACCCAACACTCTATATAAATGGACATTTCTACAGAAAAAAAGCATACCCATGGATCTGACAATGGCACTGCATGCAGGCTTCAAGCAAGTGTGTTTTTGTCTGAGACAGCTATCAATAGCTTCACAGTGGGGCGAAGCTGGTGCCTTTGCGGCAGCTGGCTTTGGAGCCAGGGTCAGAGTCCGGAGGGTTGGGAGAATAAGAGGTTTCGAAGCCCGGGTTGGGAATATGCAAAGCAGCTGGTTTGGATTTCTTTGACCGAGAGGTATTCCTATAGGATCTGGTAGTATGATGGGCCCCACAGCTCTTGGAGATCTCTGGTGAGGGGTCAGAGTTCACTGCAGGGCTGTTTTCTGTGCACGGATGAGCGGTGGGAGGTTTCCCCTGAGGACATGAGGCGGCCAGGAGCGGGGAAAGAGTCGCTGATTCCAGGAGACCTTTAGTTCCCTGCGTGCACTGGGTAAAAAGAACAAGACAAAAAGAATAAAGGTACAGGGAAAAAAACGATGACCCTAACACGACAAACAGCATAAAGTCAAATTAGTTAAGTGAATACAGCTATTTATAAGAAATGAAAAGTTACCTACAGGTGAACTTTGCTGGTGATTTGAAGCAAAAGAGCCTGTTTCATGCCATAGAATTGCATTGTGTCTCATTCAATAATAAATTTCATCCTAACTTGTAAGGGCTGAGCATTTGTTTTGGTATAATGATTTATACAATCATTTACACAACAGTGCACTTGTCTACTTTTTTCTACTTGCTTATTTATTTCAAATCATGAGTTACTGTTAAACATTCCTTTATCTTACACTATTTCCTACATAGCAGTATATAGTTATCTTTTTACATGCTTGTTTTTTTATTAGTTTCATTATTATTTTCATATTCTATCCCTTTTTCATGCTCTTTCAGCGGGTGCAGTTGTAACACAAGAATCAAGAATATCCTCCTGGGAATCAATAAAGTATTCTGATTCTGAGTCTGATTCGGTTCCAAAACTCAAAACTATCAAGGAATGATACAATGAAACAGAGGAACCACCAGGAGAACAATGGCAACAAATTCTTACATTAGATCAGTAATCTGGAATATTACAGGGTTGAGAACAAACATATTATTAGTCGGAGGGCTGATGAGTTGAGTGACAAAGGTTGAATGATGAACAAGGAAAATATATGAATTGGACCATGAAACAAAAACATTATAGGACATGTTGGGTCAGTAACATGAATGACGGCTAAATCCAGGTACCCTAAAATAAGATACCAAAAGACAGAACACAAGAGCAAGGACTATGATCAACAAAGTCCCAAAATAATGCCATATTTCTTTTTATCCTGCTTTGTGAATTGAAGAAATTGATTTTAGTTATGCCTTCTCATCTGTAAGATTACGCCAGTACAGTAAAGACCCTAAAGTTGTAAGTCTCACAAACATTTATGGTTAGAAATGCCCAAAGTTAAAAGTCAGAAAGTGTCATCAATCTGTCCTCTAGATCAAAATGGCTGCATCATACAAAATAAAATAAAATAAAAAATGAACATTTCTTCTAAAAGGAAGAAATGACAAGAATAGGAAACCAGGGGTTATCTCGTGCTAATCTGTGTTTATTCCTCCGTACAGAATTTTCTTTTACAGAACTAAGTCACTTGGATGCTATTTATCTTTAGCTTTACTGCTAATGCTATTGCTAAGTTGTTCAATAAGCAAAACGGACATAAGCTATGCTTTTCCATAGGATTTTCTTTTTTTAAAGAGTTGGTTGTGCAACTACCAATTAAAAGAAAATGTATCGAATTTTATCTGTGCATGTGGTATTGGGCTGTATTACTAGTCATGTAAACTGTAAGCTAACCTGCTTAGAGAGCTAGCCAAAATGCTTGTTAAACTTTTAACACAAGCTCAAACTATGAGGGTTAGAGGAGAGCACCATTATCCTACCAACCTTTATTTTTAACCAACCTCTATGGTAATCTTTGTTAAAAAAAAAAAAAAACACTTATTTAAACTTTTATAAGATGAATTAGTTAGTTTGGGTTTTCAGGTGTGCCATCATTGATGGACTACAATATGGTATTGGCTAATCACTGACAAAAGTCAATTGAGAGTTTTTGAACCTGTGGCATGAAAAAGGTCCATTTCAGAGATTACAGCCACACTGTCGTGGAATTTTCTAAGCAAAAGCAACACACACGTTATGCACTGGGAATTAGTTTTTCATACCAGAAACTCTACATTATATACTCACGTTAATACAACATTGCGCTGTATTAACCGTGTCAGACTTGCTAGAAAAGCTTGCTAAGCACATCAATAGAGGAAAGCTGTAGATGTGCAGTCAAAGCTGAGTTGGCCGAGTCATGCAGAATGGTCAGTGGGTTGTGAAGACAAAGCGCCAAGCACACAATCGCAGCTTCTTCTCCCACTCCCTGAACAGGCTTACCAAGCTCTAGCCTGGCTTCTCCTGCTCAAACAGCAGCCTATCAGCCAGTGCAGGACACTGCAAAGTCCAGACATTTCTCTTCCTAGCGTTGGCGGAGGGATGCAGGAAGGGAGACACACCCCACACAAAACAATGAGTCAGGACTAGCTGAGCAGACGCACGGGGAACGCACCAATACTGAGATCTGCAATCCTAACACACGTGGACACACATAAATGTCGTCAAACATATGAGGATGAAGAAAAAAATCAGACAAATGACAACACAGGAGATGAAATGAATAGGAAAAGGTTTAATATAAGAGGTCATCATGATAAATTAACTTAAACTGAGCTTCATATGGACAAATGAAATTAAAAAAAAGAAACAAGGCCATCAAGGGAAACAAATGCAAAATGAACAGCTTAATTTATGTCATATATTTTGCCATTTTACCCATTTATATGCAGAAAAGCAGGGTGAGTGTTCGATGTAGAATAAAATCTATTCATATTCAGGTGGTTGAAAAAATAATAAATAAAAAAATTGCTTATGGACATACATGCACACTGAATAAATGGCTGAATAAGTTTAGTAGTAGAAACACTGACTGAGGCTGTACACATATACACACACACAACACGCACACACAGAATGACACATTTGAAATAATGTTAAAGAAAAACAACCCTGTTCCTTGTGTGCAAACAGAAGAGCCATAGAGTGTTCCGATGTGTCAGACAGCAGCAAGTTGAACAGAAATACTGTGGCTCAGAGTGCAACCTGATCTGAACCACAGACACGACTGTAAACAAAAGGTGTTGCACAACTCTCCAGGTATCCTTTTTATCCCTTTAAGTTCCATCAGGGAGAACAACAACAAAAAAAGACACAGTGAGGAGTAGGAGCTGAAAAAAGAATGTATGAGTTCACTTTTTAACCACTTTAAACCCCCTGAGCTGGCATACAGTACTAAAACTAAACCCTGAGGTATAGACGGGGGATAGATGAACGTAAAAATACTGGTAAACACTACCTATAGTGCAATGTTTCAAAAACAATCCACAATCCGTGCTTTTTTCCGTGAGGTAAATGTGGCTAAGCTGCTCCTGAGGGCAGGTGGCTACACTCAGCTGGCCAAACACCCAACACCCAAAGACAAGACTTTAAATCAAATAAAAATTATACCCCTGATATTAGATCAAAAACAGCACAGGGGGGATTAACATTTACATAACCCTCAACAACAGGGAACAGACAGGATCGGATTTGGGACCACGGCAGGCAAAAAAGGGTTTCCCTTAGGCAGAGGCAGGGCTTTGTCCTGACTCAGGCAAAGGAGAAGGGGGGTTTCTGCGAGTCAAAGGCCCGTGGGGAAGATCCTCCTACCACGTTTATCTCGCTCTTAGCAGCCAGGGCTGGCAGCTCGATGCCCGCACCGCCGGTCTGCACCGACTCTTCTGCGGGCAGTAAGCCCCGTCTGTCGATGAGGCTGAAAGACAGAAAGAAAACGGGTCATTTGTGCTGGTAACTGGGTATCCTAAGAAATGTTTAAGGGGTCCTAAAAGACTAGCTGCTATTTACGCTCATCAGATAGTTAACAATTTTTATAAATTCATATGATGTGATTTTCTGGAATTTTCTTTGGGATTCTGTCTTTAACTGTTAGAATGTACATATGATTAAAGTTATAGATCGTTGCATTCTTTGTAAGTGGGCAAACCTGCAAAATCAGCAAGGGGTCAAATACTTATTTCCCCCACTGTATTAATCAAATGTGAATATTTATCTAGTGTTGTCAGAAATAAACACTAACACTAACCCTTAGTCTGCCAAAAGAGAACCATCACTCTTCTATGACGTTTGTATGGAGGCCACTTGAGTTTGAGGATAGAGGATGTGCTTTTTTTTCTTTTTAGGATTCCTGTTTGCAGTTTAAAGCTACACAAAAGCTACAGCGTTTGCACTGAAGCTTTAGCTAGCTGTTGACGTAAATACCCAACCCCAATATCCAAGAAATCCCAAGAGGTTAAGTTAATGAAGAGAACCACTCTTCTTTTTTCTCATGTGGACGACCACAGCAAGGGTTTTGTTTTTCTTCAAGATTCAAAGAGTTTTATGAATCCCGAGAGAACACTTGCAATACAGGGTGAAAATAAATACAACAAAGGTAGTTGGCAATTGTTTAAAGTGACTAGTGTTAAATTATAGCAGCAAGTTAATCCATTTTTTCCCTTCTGAATTACAAACAGTAGGGACCCTGCCTATGCCATTACCCTCCAGAAACATGCCTGACTCACATTACAATTCTTTTTTTTTTTTTTGAGCACCAACAAAATATTTGACAGTATCTGTCTGCACATCATTGTTCAAAACGCACCAGTATCCAAACCTTTGTGGTTTCTAAATAAAGGAGTACAAGGATGCATAGACGGCGTTAAAACTAACAGCAAGGCATCATGGAAAACTGGAGGTCTTCGTTTATTTGTAGCAAAGCTACAACTACATTCCCCTAGCAAACTCGGGGACTTCTGTATCTCACAATAATAAACCTACAATACATATTTTTTTAAAGGTAGAATATTTGTGGACCAACCTGGGTGGAATGGGTGCACAAAGGACAGAACAACAGTTGATAAAGATGTTTTTATGACTGTATGGGTTGGTTACATCTTCTCCACTCTTCCCTGACCAGGAGCCTTTAATCTGGAAAAGAAATATGAAAAGCTTAATAAAAGTTTCAACTTTTTTGCACTTGAATCAACTTTTTTTATATTTAATTTACACTTTTATTACTCTTCCGTTTTTCCCACAATATGATAATAATCCTCACGTATTATACCCAGATGGCTGTTTTCTAAATCCATTTTCAAACACATTTAATTTAATTTAATTCAAATCAACACAACGGCAAACTGAGCCACAGTATAACCACTCATCTTTTTTGGTAACAGGTAAAGCCGACACTCACGTCTTCATTGGTGGTCAGATTGGAAGCAACCAGGTATGTATGGAAGCCTGAGAGGCCCAGGATGGACCAGACTGAGAAGAAGCAGATCACCAGCTCTACTGCAGTGCATAACTGAGTCAAGGAGGGTTTCGGGACGTAGGAGGTAGGACTGAGACGCATGACAATCATGTAAAGTAATACATCTATCACAAACTATGTCCAAGTTGACACAGTTGCAAATACTTCACACACTGACTTGTGTAACACAGTTTGTGAGCCTTAATTGCGTAGCCTCCATCTTGATTTTTTTGTGTAACCATAGTGGGTTCAGCTAGGTGAAAGGCTAAAACCTTTTTTTTTTTTTTTTTAGAAACGGGCAAACATACATTTAATTAATTGATTGAAATGACCTGCTTGGTTGGAAATTCCTTCAAGAACCTGTTGGAGTCAGTAATAAGCTCATTATGAGTGTTATAAAAACACCCAACTGAGTCAGTTTGACTTCTAAGAACGTTGCCTTTAGGCTTTCAATGGCACAAACGTCGATAAAATTTGTATTTCCACCTCGCACGGAAAATTGAGCAGTTAAATTTAAGTTGGTTTTCAGGCTGAAATACATTGATAAATTACTACTAATAATGAATAATAGCTCTGTCCATTTTTTTGTTCGAGTCATAACTAGGTAGCAAATATTGTGTGTTATTTAGGATTTAACAAACCACTTCTAGTGCTAGAAAAAGTTTGCTCACGCAGTAGCTCAGTGTCTAATTTTGAAGGATAAATGCAACATTTTCCTTAAGCAGACAAGTTTCATCATCAAAAACATAGAATAAAAGTGTGTTCAGTGGTCAGATTCAACTTGTTAAAGCTGAACTGAGCTAACTGCAGTTAATAATCATAAAGTGGAAGGCTCTATATCATTTTGGACACACGTTTCTTTTAGTTGCACTTTTATCTTTTTCTGTGAAATTCTAGTGTGAAAAGGCTCGGCAAGACCAGTGCAGACAAAATGTACATCAGGGAATCGACATAAATGATGAGGAGGTGTAAAACACGGTGTGACTTGTTGTGTCATCGCTAAATATATTGTATGGTATTTAGACAGCCACCTGAAAAACTTTGGCTGTTCAGGTTGGCATGGAATTTCTAGATCATGCTCTTTGGTTCTGTTAGTGGTCAATTCATATAGGAAGTTGATTATATGTAATGTTACAGAATCATTCCCATGTCAAAGCCAGGGATGCCAATCTGTCCAGTTAAGAAGTAAACCTGAGTGTGAATCAGCCTCACCTGCTGTTGTCCAAATGGAACTGACGACAGATGGAAAAAAGACAAGCAAAAAGTACCTCTTTTTTGCCATTGGCACTTCACAGATGAGAGTAGGTTCACACCGAGGACATGACAGACGTGAGAGTCTGGATATGCCATGGAAAAGGTTCTGCCTCCAGCATGACCGGCTCGGTAGTGGGTCAGCGGTGGGTCTAGTCTGGGGAGGAATAAACTCCATGTCTTAGCCAGAGAGACCCTGGCTGACATTAAGTACCAGGACAGAGATCCTGAGAGCCATTGTCAGAGCACGTGCTGCTGCAGTGGGACGTGTGTTCCTCTGATGCATTACAATGCTCAGCCTCATGTGGCTGGAGGGTTTTCAGCACTTCCTGCATTACGCCCATTCGCCAGACCTGAATCCAAATCGAGCACCTCTGGGACATCACGTCTGGTTCCATCCCCTGCTGCACACCACAGACTGTCTAACGGTTGACAGAGGCCCTGATACAGGTGTGTGAGGAGAACCCTCGGGAGAACATCTGTCGTCTCATCAGGAGACTTCCAGACGTTGTAGAGAGACATTGTAAAGCCATGTGAGGTATTTCCACAGAGGTTGATCTGTGATCTGATCCTCCCACTTTTATTGTGATTCTGAATCCAGACCTCCATGGGTTAATGATTTTTTTTATTTCCATTGGTCATTCTTATGTTTTTAACACATTCTACCATTTAATGAATAAAACAGGAATATATCATTCATCAATTCTAAGATATATTATGTAAAGTATGTCCTTTAGTGTTTTTTTTAGCAGTGTTTATATTGTACGTGCTAAATCATTCCGTCTCTATTTAGTATGGCACTTTTTTCTCACTTTTTAACTCCCCAATATACACCCCGATCTGCACATGCACAACCATAAAACATGTTAGTTTTGTACTCGTATATTAATGAATATGCTACTGAAATATTATGCAACTGAAACATTGTGAATTTCCCCATAGTATGACTCATAACAGACTATCTTCTCTTTTTTTATCTCAAATACTTCACATGAAGTTTTTAATATTTTTAAATAGAAATCAATTTTTTCCTGCTTGCTAACTTTCAATTAGCCAGATTTTAACATCAGCCGCTTAAAAACTCTTAACTAAACGCAGAGAAATTATACAACTTCCCAGGGTTAATGAAAGCCAATATATGAAATTGTATTAATCTTCCAGTTGGTCGGCTCTTAAATTTAACATTTCTATCGACTTATTTTTTAATAATCTTTTGGATCAATTTATCATTGTGTGGTTGATTTGCAATATAAATGTGAAGATGGTAAAAAGAAAGCTATTTATCTATCCTTCTGAACAAGACATTCAAACCACATGGGGGATATTAAGCATTTCTTTCTGCTAAACAGAAATCTAATGCATCCAAATAAATGTATTAACTTGGTTCAAAATGATAAATGTCAATATTAGTTTGCTTGTCAATAAAATATTTGTCCTTAAAGGATATCTTCCAGGGCTCTCTTGAAGGGCAAACACCAGGCCTTTCCCTCCTTGAGCTCCTAAAAGAAAGGGGGAAATAATTACAGTAATTACAGCACGTTTCACAACACTCAGTAAGTTTGTAAAGAAAAATTTTATCAGAATTCTTATCTAACATTTTCAAGGATCTTTTCCGAATTTCTAAAGAGTTACTTAATTTCTCTTAACTTTTGGAGTGAAGAATGAGATCAAACCTAATGTGCCATATGGATACAAAACTGTTTTCTTTATCTGTTTTTTCCCACACCTAAACTGCAAAATACACACTGCAGTTGTGCGGGGAAATTGTGTTGACGAAACAAACATTGACATCGACTGCCAGGTGCTGTTTGAGTCAGCTGTTGGATCCCAGTGTGTGTTTACCCACCATGGATCACCTGCCGATCAAAATAACACTACGTACTCAGCGCCAGGTGCGTGGTCACACAGCCGAAGATGAACGCCGTCAGGAAGGAGAGCGATACGATGAAGGTGTAAAAGAAACGGTAGTTGCGTTTCCCTACGCAGTTCCCCACCCAGGGGCAGTGGTGGTCAAATCTCTCTGGGGGAATAAATGTCAAATTCAATGTGATATTTAGACATCTGAATAGAGAGTAACTCCTTTTCTGATTGCTTGGTATTTGATATTACCCTGTAGTATTGATAGTTTATTAGCTGGAGCCCTGTGACTCCTCTTTCATAATTGATGAGGTTGAATGCCACGGCACAACTCACCCACGCAGTTGTCACACAGGCTGCAGTGGGAGGTGCGCGGGGGCCGGAACATCTTGCAGGTGAAGCAGTACTTGAGCTTGACCACCTGCTGGTTGATGAGGACTTCCTTGGTGCGTGGTGGAGGCCGGTAGCTGGGGTTTCCAGTGTTGTCTGCACAGGCAACCAATCACAAACAAAAACTGTGTTTATTAGTCTCACATTGTTGAATTACACTCACAGGATGACTGTTTAACAACCACATCATGTACATATTTTAAACAGTTAATAATCATATTATTATTTTATAAGTTTGTTCATTAATTGTTTTGTGAATAAAATGTTCACTACTACCAGTGGTTTTTGGCAAGACCTAACTGGCTTTTCTTTTCCTTTTTTCGCATTAGCATTTGATGCATGTGCCTTTTAACAGTCACAGCTTTCTTTTGCAGCTGATCCTCCAAAGTGGTGTCAAGCTTGTGTCAAATAGAAATTATGCCACTGGACTTTGGGACCATCTTGCTGTTACAAACCTCACTTGGAAAACTGCCTAAACCAAGCTGAGTCGAGTCAAGCAGTGCCTATTTTAATATTTTTATTCAGTGTTTTCAGGTTAAATAATTCCTTCATGCAGAGTTCAATCTGATAATAAAACTAGTTTCCAACATATTATAGATGTCACCAGCCCATGAGGATAACAGATTTTATAACAAAACTATATATGAAACTGTTTTCTAAAACACCACACTTATGTTCCCACCAAATTATACACATTTGTATTGGCTGTCAAGCTGCCATTTACAATGTCTTGATAATTCTAAGTGGTACAAAAAAAAAATATATATATGTGATCGGGAAGAGTCACTATCTGCAATGAATGAACTCAGTAGCAATTAAAGGTGTAAAAGTCTGCTTTCAAAAAGGTTATAAACCAAATTTAATTGCAAAATTTTCCACTGAGAACACAAGTTCGGACAGGAAATGCCCATCTAGAATATGTTTGTAACAAAAACCCAAATCTAGTTTATATTAGAAGTTGAAATTCCACTTTTTAGTTCCACCTGGAAAAATTGTTAACAGAATACTGAGTCAAACAATATGACCAGAGATTGAAATCTGTCTTATAGCGAGTTTTCTTGGTCTATACTCCACACTTGTGTCACAACCTTTGTGTTAAAATAACTTGAGAGAAAATATTACAGTTAAATAAGACTCACATCTTACATCACTGCTGCCTAAACTTTGGCCATGAGTAGGAGTTTATAAGGTGAGCAAGATGCCAATTTCAGATACTGAGGTCAAGAAATCAAAGAAAGCCATTTAGAAAGGAAAGGTACCATTGGAAGCATACAAAACTGACAGTAAGCGTAACTGAAGGAGGACTTTAAACAGCTCTGACGCACAAAAAGCACAGATGGGGATCTGTACTTTTTTCAGTACAGTAGTCCAGCACGACACACTTCTTAAAAGGAATATTCTTATGAAATCAATGTGACATTTATAACACTTAAGGCATGGCGGACTGTACTTGGGGGTGGCCTTTAATGGAACAAAGCTGCCATTACGATGAAGATTAACCACCAACAGAGCAAGCAGTGATTGCTGTATAAGAAATTGCTTCTTTCTTTTCTTTTTTTTTACTAGAGAAAGAATTGCATTGTATAAAATGACCAAAGAATACAAGGCTGATCTAACTTCAATATGTACATTGACAGAAATGCTGCTAAAGAAGGAAACAGCTAGCATTTAATACTATTGCGTGTAACGGCGTTACATTTTCAAACCCCCTTCGTACCGATTTGTCTTTCGATGTCCGCAGCCTCGTCTGGCGTGGCCCTGGGCAGGATGCCGGGATCGGTGAAACTGGTCTGAAGCAGGGTGATGACCACAAACACAAAGAGGATGCCTCCGATGGCGGGTATGCAGCCGGTCAAGTGTTTGACTAGGAAGGGGCAACTGTGACGGAAGAGGAGGGAAAAATTGAGAGACGCTCATACATCTGGCCCACTTTACCTCACATCCCAAAGGGATCTGGTTTTTTAATTAATTGCTTGCACTTTTAATCATAACGTATAAACCCCCCGAGACAGAGCACACATTTTTTCAATACGTGGCTCCTTGAGATTGTAGCTGTCATTGTTAAGCACTGTTCTCTAGTACTGTTCAATGCAAAACTGTTATGTAACATTAACAGCTGTGAGAGAGAGAGAGAGAGAGAGAGAGAGAGAGAGAGAGAGGGAGAGAGAGAGAGGGAAAGAGAGAGAGAGAGAGAGAGAGAGAGATGAGAAAAAAAGAGACCCTAATGAATGACCAATACAGATATTCTCACAATGCAAGTGGTAGGTCACATGGAACTTAAGGAAGTGCTTCTCTTCAGCCAGGCAACTTTACCAAATTTATCATCTTTAAAACCAATTACATATCAATAAAAGGTTACTGTTTTTAAGCACTACTGACTATCATAGTTTTTTTTTTAAGGGCCTGGATTAAACACCCCAGGCAAGTGTCAGTTCAACAAAATGTCAATTTAATGAGCTACTTTTACATCTCCTGAAAAATGTCCTCCTTCCCTTCACATGTATTTATACACCCTACTGATATCAAAGTGGCTCACGAATGCCAGTATAAAGATTAAAATGTGAACTAGCATTTGAACTTACTCGAATATAAAGAATAAGACACTTGTAACGAGGATGAGACCCAGGGTGAGGGGCAGGACCCCGCTCTGGCGGGCCAGCATGATCCGTCCATCGCAGTAGAAGCGGTTCTTCCCGGGGAAAACTTCCCACTTTCTTCTGGGTCTTCTCGGCTCCTTTTTCTTCTCCGTGTCGCTTCCATGGTGGGGTGGCGGGGTCGGGGTGGGCGTGGGAAGTGCCTGCGGGTCGATTTGCTGATACTCACAATTGTTCATGGTTTATAACGGGAATGCACTGTGCCTTTTTTCGGGACTGAGCACCGACGGCATCACTTGCCCCGGTGGACTTTCAGGCTGGCGACCGGAGAAATGTCGTCACGCCTCGGAGAAAACGAGCTAACCCCATTGTATCTGGATTCAGCGAATAAACCCAAAACCCCTTGCTCGAAATGATGTCCTTTTCACTTTTCATTTTTCCTTAATGATTCTTCTTTATGTCTGTCTTCAGGAAGACTTCGCACAAATCCAGGCGATAATCCACAATCCATCGTTAGCATCTTAGCTCTTGCACTAATACAAGCCTCCTCTCCCAGCTGTGGAGTTACTGAACATCACTAACCCCAAAGTACCGTCAACACCGCTAGCTTGTTAGCTCACTCAAATTAGACATTGTATCCACCCTGAGAACTTAGCTCCACCAATCTTATATGCAAAAATCAAATTCGAGCCCAAAAGCGTTATTATTTTGGAATATGTGTCGCCTTTAACGACTCCCAATGAAGTCTATATACTGTCCAGGAACGAGCCGTTTTGGCAAATTGCTATTTTGACAAACTCAGTAGAAAAATAAAGTGGTTTCCGGTTTCCCCTCGAAATGTTTTCAAACGTTACATTCAGACCTTTCATGAGAGAGTAGCATATGAAACCAAAACTCATACAACGTCTTATCGAATAGTTGCTATGTTGTCGCTTTCTGTGACTTAATTTTCAAATATTTGTCAAGCGTAAATGGGAAAAATAGCCAGACATCCGGTAGTACCGGGGTCACTCTGGGTAACTTGATGCGTCCGAAAAAAGGTAATTTTCAGTGTTGTCGCTGATGGGACCGGAATCTTGTCAAAATAATGGTGAGGACATTTCTAATTTTAGCTTTCAGGGGATGGTTGAGTTTACTTTCCAATTACAAGCAATATTTGATTTCAAGTAGCTGTTCAGTGATACATGCGAATAAAGAGTAATTTTGTATATAACCCAAAATGCAAAAATCCCAGTTGCAGAGTTTTACGTTATAAACTTACCTATGACCGGAAGTCAAACCTCCTCTGGTAAATACCTGGTTGCTTTCGTGCACCTTGACACCCAGGTACACGAATTTGGTCGAAAACTGTTCTGAAACGGGCTTTTCGGAGTGGAAATTAAACAGGAGACGGTCAGAATGGATTAAAATAGCAACTTTAAACCTGAAGTGTGGAAGCTGCCATTATTTCGGAACTCAGCTGGTGAAAGCATTGGGACTATAGGTGAGATATTCATAAGTCCTTTAATGGAGGAAGCGGCAGCGATGACAAGTCGCCATGAAAGTGAAAACAATGTTTATGTTGTGTGACTTTTAGAAGAGACGTGTGTCGGGTGTGAAGGTTTAAGTTGAGTCGGACATGCTTAAGAGACTGCTATTCGACGTGTTTATTTTTCTTGAAAAGTTAAAGCAAAGTTCAGACTCAGTTGTAAACCATTGTCACAAAACATAGCGACGGCAAGGAACAATAGACAGTTTCCCCCCCTTTATTTTAGATATTCCAAAATTAGCTTCCTTCAAGTACAATAAAATTAACAGAAAATTTTGTCTACACCCCCCCAAAAAATTAAAATGTGTTACTAACAGTTCTTGTTTTAACAAAGGCTCCCCAAATAGCCTCAAAAATCCATTACAAATTCACTTGTTGTTTGTCATCAAATACGATGTTGGTATCTGTTGAACTGGGGTTGACGTTTTTTAACGAATAACTAATACTCTTTCCTGTGCACCTTTTCGTTCACGTGGCCCTAAAAGCTATAATCCCAGCATTTATAAACTGAGTTTTGTTCAGAATTCTCCATTTTGGAATACTCCATGATATCATGTACAGAATATGATGTATGACTAAGTAATTCTCTTTCTCTGTGTGCTCACATATCCTCTCTCTAAAAAAAAAACCTGTTTGACTACATTACCTCCACCTGGGGACAGTAGTTTCATATTTGTTTTGAAGCCCTCAGGTGGCTACAAGTAATTACCATTGGATGCATTCTATTGACGGCAGTGTGATTATATGAAGTAATTTCCGTTCAATTGTTGTTTCACCTAGATAAACCGCAGTTCACCTCAGTTTCTTAACACGCCTTTTCTTTGAATTTGTTTCCACCAGTAAGTCATGTCGACGGGCAGCAGTGGCAGCCTGAGGCGCAGCTCAGGGTCTTTTCACCAAGAGCGCTGTGTGGACCCAGTGGTGGAGCAGCCGACTCGAGAGCACGGGGCAGTCTACAAAGCGCGCCTTGAAGATGCAAACGGGAAGGAATCGGAGACCATAGGCTTCATTCCTGGCTCGGCTGAGCCGTCGTCCTCAGGACCGGGCTGTAATCCCTGCGCTTCTCCCGGAGGCTGTAAGACTGTTGTCTGCAGCGTGCTAACCTGCGGCCTGTACCGAGTCTGCCAGGGCTCCATCCTCACTCCGTGTTTGGCGCCAGACGAGAGCTCCCCGGATGCGCGAGAGAAGGCCAGCCTCCAAGGTGAGAAACCAGGAAACTCCAACGAAGATGATGTCATAGAATACCCCGATCTTCACATCAACGGAGTCAAGGTGGTTAGTCCGAGAAAATATGTTGAGGAGGAAACCAAATCACCATCATACGTGCCTCCGGCTGGCCTTCAGACTCAGCAGGGCTATCCATCCCTGCATGAGCCCCTGAGGTTCGATGACTGGGACGACGGCGATGAAGACGTGGACTCCTTGATTACGAAGAAGTTGTTGGAGCTTTACTCTGAGTATCAAATCGAGGAGCTGGCCAGGTGCACCTCAGACTCCGTATTCCTGAGGAAGAGCAAAGCCATCAACCAGCTGATCAACTCTTTGGCAGAGGAGCACAAAATGGACGAGCAGGAGGCGGAGTGCAGGCTGGTGCGTGGCATCATCCGCATCAGCACTCGGAAGAGTGCGAAGAAGAGGCCGGTCATTTCCAAGGTGGAGAGGACTCCGTCAGACAGCGGGAATGAAACCATGATTGGGAGCGGCTCCTTTTCATTCGGTAACAATAGTAAGTTGGCGCCGTTTTTTTGTTTTAACCCCCCGTGTTTAAAAAGGAATCCCTCCCTAATGTTGCTTTAGAAAAGATCAATCAGATTTTTTTCCTTTGTCTCCTTAAGACGATTACAGGTCAAATCCAAACATCCAGATCTCAGAGCTGACCCCCTCAGACGAGTTTGCTCGGGAGATATGGAGGAAGAATGGTGGTAAGGAATGTGTTCTATTCAAATTTAACATGTGGTTTCATTTTAAATATATGTTTATGTTGAAGGTGAACATTAAAACAACACTAAAATTGATTAGTTTTCAACAATCTAATCTAATAATTTAGGACTAGTTGCTGCCGGCCCATCTGAAAAGCATTATAATACCAATTTCAGAACAATTTTCCACCATCATTGGAGGTCTTTCTGGAGCAAAGCTCATACAAACCATCAACTACAATGGTGGAGGGTTGATGATTTAGACTTGTTTTCCAGTCGCAGTACCTTAATCCCTTACAGTCACTGGATATAATATGAGCTCTTCTGTTATCTACAATCAGAATACAAACGTGAGCTTATCTGTTAGACAGCTAAGGAGTTTTAAATTCCATGGAGACGTATTAACGAGATGGTTTTTCATGATGTTTTGTTGAGTAAAATCCTAGACTTAAAGAGGGCATACACTCTAAAATCAGAATTGTTTGATAATAGTTTGAATTAGATATTGTTATTACAGTATAATAAAGCATAATGCAGGGAAATTTCATTGCACTGTAAAATAATATCAGTAAAAATTGAATGTGCAATGTATATTAGATAAATATTTAGCCTTTAAAGTGAAAGTTGATGTGTTTAAATGTAAAAATGTATGCTTTTTTGTAACCTAAGCTGTTGATAATTAGTCAGATTTTGTTTTCCTGTTTAACTAAACTTCCCTTTAACCAAAGGGAATTGCCAACTTGTATTAAAACTTGTATTAAAGGTTGTCAAATAAGCACTGTTCATGAGAAACACTTTTTTATCGCTGTTTGATTTAGAGCATTCTACTGGGTAGTAATGAAACAGATTAGCATGAAGATGTGCATGTATCTGTCAAGATACCCATCTTATACTATATGAACATTTGAATTAAGATATTTATGAGAAATTTAGGAAAAAAAGGAAAATTTAATTTTGAGATTTTTGCATAAAAATGTTTAAACTAGTTTTTGAACTTTGAACTGTGTGTAACACAGTGTAACTGTGTAACATCATCTGTAGACCAGAAGACCTGTGTGAAACCAGGAATGAGCTTTACTTTAGCTTTGAACTCCTTTGGAACTAGATAAGATAAGATCTACAGATAAGATAAGAGCACATCCCCTTACAGACATCCATAGAGTGGCACAGGAATCAACAAAACAGTGGAACATGGAATAAATTTGCTCCTTTGTCAAGAGCCGAGCTTCCCAAGATTAATAGATACAGCCCAGATTCTTAGCAGACACCTCATTCATTTACTTGCTAAGTAAAGATTTTCAGAAAGATTTGCTTTACATTGATGAAAAAGGAACTATGAAAATACATGAATGGAATGCTGCTGCATTTTCTCCACTAATACTCATAGCTTTTCATTTTCCAGTCAATGGTGAAAAATGTTCCTCTGTCTTCTTTACAGGTCACCCCTCAAGTTCCTCAACAGCTTACTCACACTCTCACACAGAAACAGATTCCTCCGGTGTCCCGCTCATTCACACCTCAGTGAGGACATGACTCGTCCATGATGATCATCTCTACTTTAATGCTATTTTGTGCCCACAAGAACCCATGTCGGATGTAAGGAGAGCAGACTCAAGTAGCACTAAAGTTTCTGTCTGAGCCAAATGCTTTAAAGCTGTTTTTGTATAAGAAGGAAGCAAATGTGTAAGATCACATTTTCTAAAGGAAGGACTTCTGTATATATGCTTTTGAAGGAATGTTTGAGTAGGAGCTTGTCCTGCAGGCAGACATCACCAGCATCCTTGAAATACTTTATCACATTCAGCCGTCCGCTTATTTTTGAAGTAGTTGCAACTTGAAAAATGTCGCCCAGCTTTGGGGAGTTTGATGATTTGCTGTTGTTACCATAAGAATGTTTTTTTCCTCTTTTATGTTCCCTTTTTTTGTTCTGTTGCACATTTCACCATTCTTTCATCATAATTTAGCATCTATATGGTAATATCTTTATATTAAGTGCTTGTGTGCTGTATGCCAAATTAACAGACAATGATTGTATGTGTTGTGATAGATTTCATCATTTGAATTTTTGAGGTGAGCAGCACAACAGAGCTTCGACCTGCAGTTGTATGAAAGGACAATAAACTGATACGGTTAAAGGTTGTTTCAAATAATGGTTCAAAAGTAATGTAATCAATGTAATTATTATTTGTATTGAGTTTTTATGTGTACCTGGAAGTGCACAACAAATAAAGATAATTGTGACTTCATGGTTATTGTTGTCTAATTATTGTCTATTATTGTCTAAAATTTAGATTTCAATGGCTGCTCAGTTTAAAAATGGTCTATTTGTATAGTAACTGAATAAAGGTTGAAAGGGGATTTATAAACCACTGTATTCTGTTTAAATCCATTTTTACACAATATCCTAACTTCATTTGAATAGGAACTTTAAACTTTACTGTAAATATAAAATTGTGTGATTCTATGTTTAATAATAAAGCCGAAACAGTCCCTTCGCGACCCCATTTGGGAATATGGATGGATGGATGAATATCATTGATTCATTATTTGTTTGATTTGTGGAAAACTTTTGGAAAAAGTCTAATATATTTTTAGATTGATCCCATTAGTAATTATTAAAATGTATATAGTGCAATATGCTCAATTACGTTGCACTATAGAATTCATTTTCCAGAATATTCTTTAGGCTTCGGTTACGTCTGGGTCCCTCCCTGAGCAAAACGTGTTATTTTATTGGATGTTTTAGCTATCACGTACTAGCTATTATTGTTATTGGTTAATATTACATAGGGGTGTGGCTTATTTTCAGGAAGTTTGTGCAGCGTTTGCTCACCGGGCTACTCAGCTTTGAGAGATCAACTTTTTTTTGCCTTTTTCAGTGTCTCGTAAAACATATCTTATAGTCAAGTATGGCTGATGAAGACGAAAAATATGACGGGATGCTTCTTGTCATGGCGCAACAACATGAAGGAGGAGTGCAGGAGGTAAAGCAACTTGCTAACGCGACCATGCTAACATGTAAGCTAATGTAGATGTCTGTGAGCTCGTGGACCACCTCGCGTGTCAGCATTCGGGGTGAAATGCTTAAGCAATTAAACTCTTTAAAAAATATTATTTTCGTTTATCGTCGGTTAATTCCTCTGTAGGCAAACCTAAGCATTTTGGAAGCAGTTAGCCTGGAGTTCTGGTTAATTCGGCAAACACGTGACAAAAGATGGCACAGCGGAATTCTGTGTAAACCGGCCTTATAGCTTTGGGTTAATCGTACGTTATATAGATGCTTTCTTCTATGATCGACGTTAAAATACCCGTTTTCCAATTAAAATGAGCACAGGATTGTTAGGGTTGAGTTTAAGACTACTGATTTTCCTCATAGTGGAAGCTGTCCACTAAATGACAGTGAATCTGAAATAAAAAGAAGGATCAAATAGACAATTTTTCAGGATTTGTATGTCCAAAAGAAAAAAACATCTTTCTGAATTGCAACATATACACTTTGATTATTGTAGTACCGCTTTTATACACATCAATAACATGTTTGAGTTGAACCTAATCTGTTTTCTCTCTCACCAGTTGGTAAACACATTTTTCAGCTTCCTTCGTCGCAAAACAGACTTCTTCACTGGTGGAGATTCAGGTGCTGCAGAGAAGGTGAGCAGTTTTAAATTTGCCATATCTTTTATGACAAGGAAGCGTGCACGGAGCAGCGATCTGTTCTACTTGCTGACAGGAGCAAGCCTTGGATCAGTGCTTATTTCTGTCCGGCCTTCTCTTCCAGCTGGTAAAGGATGCCTTTGATCACCACTGTAAGCTGGCCCTGAAGGTCCACAAGGAGAAGCAGGCGAAACAGGACAAGGAGAAGAAGGAGAAAGCTGAGAGAGCGGCCAAGCTCGAAGAGGAGGAGAGGAAAAAGAAAGGAGAGAATGGACCTCAAATTCAGGAACTGACAGATGAGGAAGCAGAGAAGCTTCAGTCTGAGCTTGACAAGGTTTAAAAAGAAAAAAGATTTTCATTGCATGTGTTTACTTTCTCTCATTTAGCCTTTTTTACATGTGCATGTGTTTGCTTCTGGGTCGCAGAAAAAGAAGGAAGAGGAGAAAATGAAAAATGTGACGGAAAATGAAGCAAAGACGGAAGACAAAGCCGATAAGGAGAAAGGGGTGAGTGGTCAGCCGGGCCCTGGGAGGCTGGCAAATCTACTGCCGTGTACTCGCTCCCTTTACCTACGCTTTTATCGTGTTGTTCATTTATTCATTTTTCCAGTCTGACTCTGAAGCTGAGGAGGACGAGAAGGACAAAGATAAACTGAAGCCGAATGCGGGAAACGGAGCCGACCTGCCCAACTACAAGTGGACGCAGACCCTGTCTGAACTGGATGTAAGTTAGAGGTGACGGAGGAGAGATAGAGGGAGGTACAGAAAGAAGAGTAGAGGAGGTGGGGAGTAAGTACATGATAAGAGTTAAGGGAGGAAATGCTCTCTAAAGAGCAGGGTCTTCAAGAGTTTCTTGAAGATGGACAGGGAAGCCCCTGTGCTTGGTTAGTCATTCCACCATTGAGGAACTGCACATAAAGAGAGTGCTTTAGGTGTGGTGAAAATGTCCAGAATCACTCCATCTTCTGCACCTCAGTCAGTTAAAAACAGAGGTCCAGTCTGGGATTTGAAAGTATTAAAAAAAGACGTTCCAGTTTTGTTTGTTTTTTAATCGCGAGAAAAGAGTCCCCAGGAGAAAGAATATGCCACCTGGAGATACAGGTCAAAACAAATGAGAGAAACCCCCTCCCACTTTCTAACCCTTTATTCTTTTATCCCAATCATTGCCCTTGATATAGTTGTATATCATGACCTAAAGTCCACACTGCCTCTATGGGCCATCTGTCAAAGGCCATCAGATGATAAAACTCCCTTATTTCTCCCTCTATATGGTGCAGATATGATACTCCAAATCAGGGAGAGGTTGTGTTGATGGTTGGCAAATGAGAAATGGGGGACAGAGGGGGACTGTTTTTGTCTCATTCTCATGCAACTTGAACTCAGTATTATAAACATTGTCTAATCCTTATACCAGCTGAATGCAATCCAGTCCAACTTTAGTTATTAGGAAAATGAATAAAAGCAGAACCAGCGTGGAAGGAAATGCACTAAAAGTGGAACATGTCAGAGACAAAGACAGATCAGAGAATTCTGAAAGAGTGCCGGCTGCCATCTGGAGACGGGGGATTAAGGACCCGCCAAGCCGGAAATTGTCACTTCTGTTTGTAATTGTTCCTTCAAATGAAGGATATGAAGTTACATTGAGAACAATTCTCAACCAGTTATGGTCTCAGGCATAGTTACATCTACTCATCCAGGAGAATCTGTTCAAAGAGAATAGGAAAAAGGTGGTGAACGGAAACAGGACTCGACTTGCTCTTCCAAATCCCACCCATGTGGGTGATTACAGTAATGGGCCTTTCAATGCTGCCCTCTTTGCTCCAGCTTTGGACTCTCTTGAGTTGAGAATCATCCACCTCTTTGGATCATAACGCACAGGACTGGTGGACATGACTAATTAAGCTTCAGGGTTTTTGTTTATTTCCCAACAGAAATCACTCCAGAAATAGAAGGTTGTGAACTTGTTAGCAATCGCTTTAAATCCTCCCACAGCTCGCCGTGCCGTTCGACGTCAAGTTCCGGATCAAAGGCAGGGACGTGGTGGTGGACATCCAGCGGCGCTCCATCAAGGTGGGCCTGAAGGGACACCCGCCCGTCATCGAGGGCCAGCTGTACAACGAGGTGAAGGTGGAGGAGAGCTCCTGGCTCATCGACGACGGGAAGGTGGTCACCGTCCACCTGGAGAAGGTGAGAAAACGAGGATTTCTAGAGCTCGCCGTTTACATGGCGTGCGGTTTAAATGCTAAAGGCTGCTCCCTTTGATTTCAGATTAACAAAATGGAATGGTGGAGCAAGATCGTCACAACAGATCCAGAAATCAACACCAAGAAAGTGTGTCCCGAGAACTCAAAGGTAAAGGATAAACTCTTCTCTCTCTCTCTCTCCCTCTACATATATATGTGTGTAGATAGATAGATGGATGGATGGGTAGTTTTTTTTTTTATCAAATAAAACAGAAAAAAAACAGCGGGTTCTTACTGTCTGTGTGTGTGTGTGTCTGTGTGTGTGTGTTTGTTCTACCGTGCAGCTGTCGGACCTGGACGGGGAGACGCGCGGCATGGTGGAGAAGATGATGTACGACCAAAGGCAGAAATCCATGGGCCTGCCTACGTCCGAGGAGCAGAAGAAACAAGACATCCTTAAAAAGTATGTTTTTCTCAGTTTCCGTCCGGCCTCCCTCTCAGACACCCCGTTGTCCACTATGGTCTTCTTCGTGGCTCGTTTCAGCTGCTTTGACCTCCAGCTGGGACATACGGCACGGACTCCTGACATCAGACAAAACGCCTGAATGCATGCTTGTTTTCTCAGGCTCGTTGCTCCATGAGCCTCACCCCCCCCTTACTGACCAGTAAGGGGGGGGTAGAAAGCATCCTTCCACTTTCACTCTACTTTTCAGACCCGAACACAGAAAAACATCTTTTATTCAAAGTCTGTGCACTTTAGGCTAAATATCCTATTATAAACAAAGCACCTGATATAAATGGCTTATGAAGGGGACTGTAGTGTGAATTTAAAAAACCAAGTTAGTCACTAGGAAAGGACATAGGGCTCTGTCTGACTCGCTGAGTCCAAGGAAGAATTTTGAATCCAATACTGATTGAAAGGCGTTTATTTGACTCTTTCAGCATAACACACTTTGTGACAAGATTGTAAATTAACTAGCAAGATACTTTCGAGGTCAGCTTTGGCCATTGATTTGTGAGTACTTTTGCGGTCAACAGAAAATATTGGCACCCCATATCTACCCTCTTTGTCTCAAAACAAAAAAATAACCCAATGGGCAGACGCAGGTGACATTTATCGGGCAATCATCCAAACCCAGCCACACCCACGCACGCACACACACACACACACACACACACACACACACACACACACACACAC